AACGCGCACTCGTATGTTAAACGGCAGACCGAGCTTTCAAAAATTCCCAAGTTTTGGTGTTAATCTGGCTGATATAGAACAAGATACAGCTATTAAAAACTTGAAAATTTGCCAAGAGATGTATGGATTTTCTCGGGAATATATGCCCGATAAACTCCAAACTTAAGCATTTTGTGAATCTCGATTTTCTCTTTCGGACTATGCGGGTACCGTGTTGTTTATCCCATAATACACGGATTGCCCAGTCCGTCTTGATTTGAAATTAGGCAATGGTCGCAATAAGGTTACAATTTTGTCGAGTAACAGAGAAAGACAACGCTTTTGGAAGCCATTACAAAAGCTATACATACTCGCGTCATGCTCGCGTGGAACACAAAACTTGGTTTTATTATGACGGTCAATTTATCACCGCAAAAGACTGGAAAGGCGACTACGTTTCGAGCAAGCCCTTCGTCAGACTGACCTCGTGTCCATCTGACATTAAAAAAGGCGCTGAGAATTAGATGCGGCGATTGAAAAATGTCGTAATAGCCCACCGCAAAGACCGAAAAGTGAAAGTAAAAACAGCCCCAAATTTTGTTTTGTGGAATCGTTTGGTCACTAGTATCGCAGCTCCCTAGTACCACATAGCCTGAGAGCCGGAAGAGCACTGGAAACGTGCTTGTAAGTACATATACCGTAAAGAAACTTTTATAATAATGACGGTATCCAAATCTTGTTATTTTAACAAAGACCAATAAACTGTAATAACAAAATAGCAAAGAACAAAGAGACCTAAGTATCCCCGATGCTTTGGAACGCTCATACTGTAAACCGTGAGTCACGTGATCCACACGAACCATATAAGCCCCTCCGTGTTAAAATCAGGCCATTTCATTGAATTCTATCTGAGCTGCAGGAATTCGCAGAATAGCTTGTTTCCTCCACTTTCCGCATTCTAATATTACTCTAAGCAAAGCTTAAGTAACTTGAGAGTCCATTAGCGCTTCATTCAGCGGTCGTTGTGTTTCCGAAAATAGTAGTGAACGAAAGTCATGATCGAAAGGATTGTTTAGCGGTGAACCCTAACAAATGACTTCCCACGAATTGTACGAGGGCAATTTATGGAAGAAGAAACAGATAACGGTAATCAAAGAGGTAAGAATTATTTTTTGCCTAATCACTCCAAACTATACTCCTCCTCTCTGTGTTTAGAGCTGAGTCAGCACGTAAAAAATTTGAGTCGAAAGCGTATTTCTAAAAAAATATTTCATCGACACATAACCCGTTATATGGGTAACACAATTTGCTTCTGGATGCATATGCATGAAGGAGATGAAAATTGGATTTTAAAAGATAAACCGCAGAAAATTCGATGTAAAAACTGTGCGACAGCCTCATGACGCCTCTATCGCAGACTTTCAATTGTTTTCACTTTCGCGCGATAAAAATATCAACTCGAAAACGAACCAATGATCCATGAGCAAAGCCGCTCGAGACGTTTCCACGTCATGGAATAGCTAGACACTGAATAACAAACTCTTTTGGGCTGTTTGTTATCCCGAATTTTACTTATTCGCAAAGATGGCATGGATTTAAAATCGCATATATGAAAAAAGACTGATTGGCATTGGAATGTGAAATTAAAGTGCAATGAAAGTCAAACATGCATACCCTACCTCGAGAGCGTTTTCTTTTTCTTGAGAACTTTGAGACCATGCAGGTTAGGTAAACCACTTAGAATTACGCGCCCAATTTACAGTTACTTTTTCCACTCAAAACACATTTTTCTTTTCCAATTCACGTGATGACCGCAAGACACAGTGTTGAGGCAAACAAAAGGTCATGATTAAAAAAGAGTATAACAACGCCCACCCTAAGAACCAGAGACTTTTCATGTGCGATTTCCGATATTGTTCAAGTCTTCACAGTGACCCACTTCTTCGGCCCTCGGCCGATATCGAAGCATCCAGCCGCTCGCGAGAAAACGTGAAATATCAGGGCCCGATGCCCAGGGCAAAAAACATGTTCCCAGGGTTTTCTCCTACGTAGTAGAAGAGAATACTGGGAGCCAGGTTGGTTAAAAACGGCTGCCTGAAAACGGGTTACAATCATGTAGGGGGAAATGGTCGGAATCGAAGAATGAAAAGGGAGAACGGGAAAAAAAAGCGAAGAATCTTAAAAAGGAGAATTGCGAAACTTTGATACGAGGAATCTTTAGAAGCGGAATCTTTAAAAACGGAAATTTTTTGAATGGGGATCTTTAAAAGTGGGAATCTGAAAATGTGAAAATTTTTAGGGTGGCAGTTTTCTCCAAAACTAAGACTTGAACTTAAATGTTTCGGGAAAAGTTCAAATGAAATGCGATTTTACTTCGTCATGAGTGATCTTTTTGTTTATTTACTTATTTATTTATTTATTTATTCAGAAATTTATGCTGTGCACTTTCAGACTAGCCCTCCTTCACGGAAAAAATAACAGATTCCCATTTTTGGATATTTTGGGGTATTTAAAAAATACCCACAAAAATCGCAAATTTGGAAGAGTGAGACAAGTCCCAACCAGGGAACTTGGTTGGGAATTCCCTGGTTGGGACTTGTCTCACTTTGCCAAATTTGGGCTTTTTGTGGGTATTCTTTAAATACTCTCTAAAATATCCAATATTGGGAATCTGTTATTTTTTCCTGTGCTTGACCTCTACCACCCCCAACACGCCTACAAAACGAGGGCTTCTTGTTGAGGGGGTAGGGCTGGGGCATTTGCAGTTACAGAATTTTTCCGTGAGGAGAGTTTACTGTATCTTGACAGCCAAAATCTATATCTTCCTCTAGTGCGAAGTTGTAGCATGGACGATTGCCTTGTTATGATCATCGGGGTGAAGATATTTTTACTGCAATCGCGCAACCGTGACGCTCTGTATTTTTATCGTATTGTTGGCTGTATGCCCTTGTATGTTGATCTGTTTACAGAAGGATTACGACCAAAAAGGGCTGTTTTTCAGTTCAAATTTGCTCCTTACTCGAGAACACTTGATCAGCACATCAGGTGTTAGTTACCTTCTAATAGGTTTTAATTTAAAAATATACAAATCCAGCAACTGTTTGCAGACATCGTGAGTTAGTAATTGAAATATCAAACAGCATGAGTCAATTAAATTTTTAAAATTCAGCGTGAAGCGATATCAATGATTTACAGCATGATTATTTTATCCTTTCCTGATCATCGCTGTAGAGCAGTCTTTATTATCTCAAATTTTCAACTTGCCATGTCTGGTTTTAAACAAAAATCCATCTGAATCAAGGCTATTTTGAATTATGATCTGAAAGGCACAGAGGGAGGCTGATAAATAATTATCCGAAGTCAATATTCAATGACGGCAGCCTGGAGTTTTTGTGAGTATCACACCGCTGTACCGGGCGCTGTACAAACTGAGAGTTGACTTCTCTTTAAAATCGTTTGTCAAATTTTTTATCAATCAGAAGTTGCGATAAGCCAGTGGAGCTTACTACGAATTAACATCGTAGTCAGGCTATCAAATGAGCAAGTACTTTCTTGTATAAAGCGTACAAGAATAGATGTTCTTGTACACCGATGAACATACGTACAAAAGTTTGTAATTTGTCCCCATTCTTCGATCACCAGATCCGATGTAGAGCTTTCAGCCCATTAATATATTCCAAGCGTATAAGGATTGATCTTTTAACGAGCAGGCGAAATTTTAATGTTAGAATTATCGACCCGTCGATCGAAAGAGCATGCACTTACGAAAAAAGTAAACAACTACAAGAACATACTAATCATGACTAATTATTCTCTATACTGCAGCACAGATAGAACAAAGGATAACTAGCTATAGTAGCTATACTTACGGTGAAACTTATCTTTAAGGACGTGCATGGTTCTTTGGTGCTTCGATCCGCTGCGTCTTCAATGTACCGAAACGAAATCTTGCTCAGTCATTTGAACTTGTAAATTTCTCTTGTTGGCTTGGTTGTCTGCAAATGGCAAATGAGCCTGTGATCAATGTCGGTAGATTTTGTCAGAGGTCTGGAACTAGACTGGACGAGGAGTCAAGATGGCGACCGCACAGGTTGGGCTTGGCAAGAACTTTGCCATTTCTTAGAAAAACATCGACTCTTATTGCCGATTTCTTATCTCAAAACAAACCCAATGTGTTATCGGAGACTTGCTTAACTCCTTTTGAAACCAAATAGTTTATTTATTTGTCTTTATAGGTACAGAATGACGATGCTTCCAGGCGAAATGTCAAAGTTTTCGTCCAAAGGGATTACTCGCGTGGAACAGCGTGTCGCTTTCAAACGAAATTTCCCCCCGAGTTAGAAGGAAAGGTGAGAGTCGTAGATAGATTAGCTCCTTTCGTAAATGAAGAAAAATTTGGCGTTTTCGCGTCTTCCCGGCTTAAGAGAGTTTGTCTTCCGCTTTGGGATCGTTTGATCAAGGTTGTTTGAACCTAAGCTTTATTTGTAATTTTTGGTCATAGATTGCTTGGAATTCGACTCAAAGATAAATAAAGAAATCGACTAACGTCCTTGTAACACGTTTGCGCCAATTCGACTGAAATCGCTTGTTTGGAATTACAGAGATATGGTAGTAACTGTGTACCTTAGGCGAAGTTTCAATCTTGCATGGCGTTACATTATATTGTGTAAACAAAGCAGTGCTCGGATTATTTTCTCTGTAGTTGTGAATGGTTAATGTACTGTGTAGTTATCTCTTTTAAGCAAAAGCAACATGCTTGGGATAGCCTCAAGTGGACATTTGTTTTGCTTTGTTTTGTTTTCTTTTCTTAACTTAATTTGTAATATTTCAAACAATGGTTGTCTTTACACTAGGCTGTTAAGTAAGACGTAAGAGCTGCTAAGTTTTACTTAACCAAAAATGCTTGTGTGAAGGCTTAATTAAAATCTCAAGTAATCTCATTAAACTCGGAAAGTTGAAACGATTCAAGAAAGTTTCAAGTGACCTGCAACCATCCTTAAAACCAACTTATCGAACTTGCAGTTTCTAAGCTTTGAGAAGGTGAAGCATGTCAATCAATCTTATTTATGTTGCGTGGGAAAGCAGGCTTAAGTAAAACTGAAGTAATAAAGAAAGGTTGTGTGTGAAGCTTTCTTTTGCTTGAAGAATTTAAAATATATTTCTTAGCTTATTTAGGCTCTAGTGAAAAGACTACTAATGAATTAAAAACACACCTTAACCTCATAAGCAACCACCCCATTTTCCAGCTTACAAGATTTAGCAAGAATCAGTGGCCGCTTTCAGGAGGGAGTAAAAACCCTTGAAAGCAGAGGTCCACTCAACATGTAAATAAAACCGACTGATTCTTTCTTGCCGAATCTGTAATATAGAGACGTTAATACCAGATGTCACTTGAAGTGGGAATTAAAACAAAACTGAATGTTTACCTGCCAACTCTCACGCCTTAGGCGTGAGTCTCACGCCTGCGGGTTGAAAACTTCGATCTCACACCGGCTCTCGCCTGCGGGCCAATTTCTCACGCCTGATTGAAAAATGTGAGTTGTTGCCGTCCTGCTTGACACAATTTCCAAAAATACGTTAACTCAGACCCATGTAAGGAATGAAAACCATGTGTAAAATTAATAAATGGCAATACCTTCCTCGCGATCTCTGATTTTTGAAGTGAAAAGCACTGGGAGCGAGCTCGCCTTTGGCAGACTTCGGCAGACTTCGGACGTCTTCGGAAGACTTCGGACGTCTTCGGAAGACTTCGGACTTCTTTGGGAATCTTCGGAAATGATCGTGTCGTCTCCAAAAATCCCAGCACTCCCAGGATAAAAATCTCACGCTTATATCTTAGAAAAAGTTGGCAGGTATATGAATGCAAGGCTGGCTATACAGCAAAGGGGTGATTTATTTGAGACCAATACTTCGGCTAACAAAATTAGCCTTCCTCAGGGCCAGAGCTACATTAAAAAAGAATCAGTCAGAGCATCTGGAAGGTTGAAGAAATTTTATTTTATACAAATTCTGTATTATGATATGGACAGTGCCATCTTTACACTATGGCATTGTCTACAGTTTACTGGATACTATGCCAAAGATTGGCACAGAAACCTACAAGATATACATTGGTAGGGCACAGCCTCACTCTGTTACAGAAACCATGCCAAACAACAAAAGCAACAAAAGCTATTGAGGCTGCTATCCACCACGGCAATAGCATCCTTCTCTATTGGCATAATTTTCTTATCATACTTAGCGTTATTCAACAGTTTTTAAATACAGTCAAACTTCCATGTCCTCTTGTATGCGACTACCTCCCATAAACGACCGCCAATCCAAAACACCAAAATTTTTCCAGTCAAAGCCTTGCAGTTGGAACCTCTATTAAACAACCATGTCCTGTAAGTAACTGTGACCACTTTTTGGGCCTGACAGTTAATGATTTTCCATTATTTTTAACCTCTTGTAAGGGGCGACCACTTGAGGCATTCTCTGGTCTCTATTAATTCTCACTGTGTGCACTATGCTACTTAGAACATACGAATATGCGAATTTTGTAACAACATGGAACTACACATGTCATAACTTAGGCATTGCATGCAATAAATAATCTTCCATAAAGTAAATGTGCCTGGACCTCTTCTCGGAAAATCCCCTTTGTGGTTCGATTCTTGTAAACAACCACATCCTGTAAATGACCACTCAGTCTTTGCATTTTGAGTTGTTGCTTTTGGGAGGTTCAACTGCATGTAACTTGGAGGTACTCTTAAAAAGGTTTATCAATTCATTTATAATATGGGTAGGATGAAGGTAGTCATTGTTTTTTAATGAAATCTCAAGGATGCATTACAGTTTTGTTGTTGAAGGCAAATTTTGATTGTTTTTGAAAATTAGGAGGTAGGGAACTACAGACTTTGGAGCCAATAAGTTGTTTTCTAACTTAGAGCTATGATATTAGCACTATCAAAAAAGATATCATGCAAATTGTTATGTCCTTGATGCCTAGAAAGGGCATACCATGAACTGCCACTTATTTCATAGCCCCAAGAACGAATTATAAATCTAAAACACCCAGCTGTAAGCCAGGACCCATTTGTTAACTACAGTAAAACCTTAGTAACAGTTTCCTTCTCCAGGAAAATGTATGTTAATGCATTTTCGTTAAACAGGCAAAAAGTAATGGCTGATAAACAGCACTTCGAAGCGTTTTAATAGTTTGATTAACACTTTTAACGGGTGGGCAAATATTTCTAATGGCTTTGGAAAGCAGTCAAACGGATTGCCTTGATTTTCCAAACGGTTTCTTTAACGGGTTGACTAAACAACATACACGTCTTACATGATCAAAGTTTTTAACAACTTATTGTTGTCTGGGTTTTAAATGGCTGCTATCAATCTCTCCTCATGTCTTCATCACATTATGGTTGAAATGGTCATGGAAATCGCCTTTCATTTAAACCAGGCAAATGTTTCGAAGCACTTGTTTGACAAGATGTGATGGATTGTGTACACATTTCTTGACATCTTTCATTTGTTTTAGACCTTCCCTTGTTGAGTAATATTTTAATTGTGAGCCCTGTTTTTGTTGGACATTAACAGTTTGGGACTGAATTTCTGTTCTTAGCTAACTTATCATTCAAGCCCAGGATGTTTAAATGTTGGCAGAGTAAGAGAAAAATTTTCCTATCCACTTGTCCTTTGGACCAGCACTATATTAAATTTGGTTGTCCAAAACCCAAGAGTTCTTCATGTCCAAAAAGTTTAGTTCGAAACTTAAAAACAATCAGGCATTTAATGTTTTTAATTTCACTATTACCTTTGTAAATTGTTTTTGACTTAAAGCTAAAATGGAGCTGGTAAAAACAAATGAAATGACCATGGAAATATATTTTTTAAAAACTCTTGGCTATAAGCCGAGAACCCTCTTGGGCTCAAATTTCACTTTTAAGTGAAATTAAAGGTAAAGTTTTAATTGTGTAAAGCTCGCTCTGCTTATAGCTGAATAAATGCAGTAAATTAAAAAAAACAGTAAATACAGAACACATATTTTGATCAGCACTGCTATAGCTTTGTTAAAAATGCTTTTTCTATAGTACTCAGGTGATAAACGTCCTCAGAGGCCCTTTGGTGAACAAGCATGACAATGCAAGACATTATGTTTGTGTAATGACTGAACTTATGGCCACAGTTTCTTATTGAACAGGAGCTCTGCTTTTAGGCTTGCCTAAATCTAGTATATTAAATTTCAGCGTAGGTAAAAAATTTACCAGATGTTCATCAGGAGTAGGGTTTAAAAACGCATGTTAGAATTTGGATGTGCATTGGTCATGTGAATTCTGGACACAGTAACCACTGTAATGTTCAGTGTACATGTACCCTTGGACTGTTCTCACTCTCTACATTACATTTCATGTTGCAGCTTGAACGAAGTCAATTTGAACAAACAGTAAACCACATTAACGGCATCTTCGATGAAGCTGAAAGAGTTGGTGCACGAACATACCTTGAAGGCTTTTTGGGCTGCATAACAGCATACCTTATTTTCACGTGTATCCAGACACAGTATAACAAGGTAACAATCACTGCGACGATCATTTCTTCATTTTCATTTCATTTCCAGGGCTGCAAATAACGGCCGGTCAACGGACAATGTCCGGCCTGATCGCGGACTTGACCGGTCAAACTCCGGTCTTGCCGGTCATTTTGACCGGTCATTTTTGGATACAAACACTTTATTTTCCATACAGTTGTCGCTTAATGCTCTATAACGCTGCAATGATTTCTTTTTTCTTTGGCGTTTTTCGCTGCTTTGCACTAAACCCTTCTAAGAAAAAGAACGCCGCAATAAATTAATTTCATGTCGTCATGTCGTAATCTAACGCCGCAAAGTGAATAACAAACTGAGTTGGAAAGTAACCCAACGTTGCAAGTCGTACTGTACTTTCGGCTTTGCTGTAATCAGCAATGTGACCTTCTTTGGGAATTCGAAGGAATTCAGGCAAATCGATCGCAATTCTCAACAGGTCGTCCTGTGTTTCTCCGAGAATAAATGTTAGCGCATCGATTAATAATAATTTCTTTTATGTCGAACATGAATCTCGTTTGCAGACTCGATTCCAGAATGGTCTGATAAAAATTTAAACTACTCAAGAGGGAAGGTCGTCGTCTATCGCGGCGCTAGATTCTCGTTCTTGTAAACAACTTTATGCAAATTTCTGTTGACATTTGAGCCCTTCGCGATAAAATGTTGCGCGATGACCCAAATTTATTAACTGACTTCTGATCATCAACACGCTGTTTGTGGAACAAACTTCTCGCCAATGCAAATCAACTTCTTTGCCGAAAATATCAGCGACGATTCTTCTTTGAAGAAGTGACTTTCGATCACGTGCCAGGCAAGGAAAAAGATCAAGTTTCACCGATGTTCATTTCGGAACATCACCGTAAAACAAGCGTGTGCAGATTTTGTAAAATAACCCAATTTTTTTTTTTTTTTTTTTTCGTAATTTCTAAAGTTTGCTGAACTGTATGTGTATTCCGTTTCCTGAACTTTGGGAGTTTGAAAAGGATTTACGCTTCACTTTTTACCTCTAGACTTCAGACACCGTCATGCAATGATACTCAAGGTAGAACGTAACTTAAAACGAGGAAACTCTACAACGTGCGAATGCATTTTTCACTAATTTGCTGTCAAAAATGTGAACGTCAATGTAGTAATAACGATCTATTGCCAGCATAATTGGATATTCCTTAGGCAAAAAAAAATTATTAGTATTCATTATTTGACCGGCCAGAATCGGGGTTTGTCCGGGCTAAAAAATATTTGGCCGGTCATCATGACCGGCAACCTGTTGTCTGTTATTTGCAGCCCTGATTTCCGCAGTTCATATATGATTTATTTTATATATCATTAACACTCATTTCTTTCACGGGAACATATGAACCCGCCACGATTGACCTGCTCCCAACGTCAGTGGCTTCATAGCTCAGTTGATAGAGCATCGCACCGGTATTGCGAGGTCACGGGTTCAAACCCCATTGAAGTTCTGAATTTTTTTTTTGTAGGCTTCTTTACGCAATTGCATAAATTGCGTTCACTGCGACGATCATTTCTTCATTTTCATTTCATTTCCGCAGTTCATATATGATTTATTTCATATATCATTAACACTCATTTCTTTCACGGGAACATATGAACCCACAATTGACCTGCTCCCAATGTCAGTGGCTTCATAGCTCAGTTGGTAGAGCATCGCACCGGTATCGCGAGGTCACAGGTTCAAACCCCGTTGAAGTCCTCAATTTTTTTTTTTCAGGCTTCTTTACACAATTTCATAAATTGCGTTCACTGCGACGATCATTTCTTCATTTTCAACACTCAAGCAATAACAAAAGGGAGCTTAGGAAATTCTGACATCAATAGCAAGGAGAACATCAAGATATAGATGTTCAAAAGCTCTATTCAGAGGATGACTTGATTAGTTTTCTTAATACATATACTTATCTAATGGATGGTGGTTTATCCAGTGTGTAATACTATCCAACATTTGAACAACCAGGACAAGAAGGAGAGGCTTAAAAAAGGGAGTTGCTGATAAGAAAAATTACGTAACATATGAAAAGCTAAAACATGTTTTTTCTTCCCTTGCAGTGTTTGAAAAGACTAGCAGAATATGTAAATGAGCAGAACCAAAGTGTGTTTGTTCCGCGAGGACTGATGATAGTTAACCCTATGGAGAGAGGACTTCGAGTTGTATCCTTTCATGAATTTTATTCAGTTTCTACTGCCTGTATAGCCACTGAATTCCTTTTTATCTGATCACCCACAGGGAGTTGTTCTCATACGGTATACTGCTATTTCAAGAAAGGTTGTCGGAAAAAATGTGCACTCGACAATCCTAAAAGGCAGTATGATATATGATCAATACATTGTTTCTGATACTGTAGCTGCTGAACCTACTTTTGTTGCTTTCCTTAAGCACTCATAAACATACGTCCATTTCCTCTCGTGCTATTCTTTCAAATTTCCTTGAAGAACAGTGAACTCAAAACCACCCACAATACCTTTCAGGATTGTTGCGTGCACTTTTTCTGACAACCCTTCTCAAAATATCTGTATAGTAAAAACAATGTTGTGTAAAATAGGTCAGAAGCTTCCATTTTCAACAACTTCGTTGAGATACCTTCTTTCACTGTGGGGCAATATTTTTAAGAACAACAAAAACCAGGCTCATACCCCTCCCTTAGACCAAAGTTGGGTTTTTTGACTTTATTGACAGGGAACTTGGCCTGCTGTGCACAATTCCTTTTTTTAATTAATTAATTTCCTTTTCTCGTTGACTTCCAGAAGCCTTGTGAAAAATACTGATGAATCTAAAATTTTCAATGTGAAATTCCAATAGCTGGGAAGAAATCATTTTATTAATTCCGATATTTGTGTTTATATTTAGTCCACAAAACTCAGAAAGTGCAACTCACTCAATACTGTTTTCGAATGGGCATGTTAAAAATCCCTTCCTCCTATTGCCATCACTGTTGAGTAAAGGGTAGAAGCAGTATGTGTGAGTCACAGTCCTTCACGTTCAGTCAAGGGTGGTTGAAATGAATAAAGGTGTTCCCCAGGTTGTCCATTCACATTAAGTTTGAACAAGATCGACTCACATAAAAGTCATCATCACCATCATCATCATCATCATCATGTATCATTTTAAACTTAAAATCTGGGCGGTCTTTTTTACAGCTTTATTACACTTGTACATTTAACAAAGTCCTACATTTTGAGAAAAATTTTCTTTAACATTCTATAACAGATTGAAATTGTCATAGTAAACTCAACTGACCAGAGGTGACCAACAGACCATGGTGACTTGTGTGCACTTAACTGACTGCAGAAATGTGGGCATTATTCAAAAATAAGATGTTACTTCCCCGCAGAGTTATCCTAAGACTGCAAAAGTTAAACAGGGTTTTTTTGTTTGTTTGTTTGTTTGTTTGTTTGTTTTTTGCATTGCCAAATTTAATATAAAGATTAATACGAACTCAAATACAAAATTATTATGGGTCGTCGTCTGTGAACCTGGAGAACCTGTCGGTCGCCTAACATTTGATAGACATTTTTTCCTTGTATTTTCTAGTCTCCATATGCTTCTTTTGCTTTTAAAGTCAAAGTTGTAGGAAGTAGTAAACACTTGCTTATGCCTGTACTGGAGCATTTGAAGTCTTTGCAAACCGAACTGTCCTCTTTTCCATAAGCAAAAGTTTTGTCAGAAGGTCCACTAGCAATAAGCGCCACGGAATCAAATATCAGGGACGAGTGTATAAAACGGAAGTGAAGAGCCTATGATCAGCAGTTTTGGTGCCTCACGCCTTTAGAGAAGCAAGTTTAAGACAGAAAAAAAGACAAATGTTTTGCAGTCTCGTTTAGAGAATTACGTAAATATTAATTATATCGTATATTGGAGTTTATTACATTTGCTTGTAATTACTTTTAGAGAATATTAATAATTTGGCCTTCAATATTGGCGACCAACCTGTTTTTTGCCACAGGCAACATTTGGGATAGCCTGCGAGCTAGTTCTGCATTTTGGTGGAATAGCGTGAATTTACGCGAGGACCCCACGCGAAAGGAGACGCGAGTGCGCTTTTAATTGGAGAGCTTGCTTGCAGGCTTGCCTAGTTCCTAGGTCTCATTATTCCGCGCCGCCAAACAGATACGTCACCGAGGTGAATTGACCGAGAGAGACTGGGAAAACGCCTTACAGGGGCTAGGCAACTTGCAGACTACATTTTAAGAATGTCCCGTATCCCCTGTGCCCTATCTTTCCTTTTTTTTTTCTTTTTTTTTTTCAGTCCATTTGTTCATAATGCCAGTCATTTTGTTCACTCTTACCTTAATGGCATGCCTTTTGAAATGTGAAATCAAGACTTCATATTGAAGATTAAGTTCAGTTTCTTTGACATTCTTTATTATGCATCACTTACGCGAGTGTCGATTGAAGGGTGAAGCTCGAGTTGAAGCAATTCATTGCTGCCGTTTTTGGAAAGCGGGAAGTTAGGTCCTGTCTAAGCTGAACTAAACTTTTTTCGGTATTGGGTGATGCTGTGTTGTTTTAAAAAAGGTAAGATATGCGCTTTAAAAGTTAATTAAATGTACATAGTAGTTCAAGCGGTGTAATTCAAGTTCTGATTGTCCGAACTAAGCAATTAAATTCTAAGACAGTTAAAAGGTCGAGCTGGTTTGTTCCCACAAACTTTACCATTGTACCGTTGTACATTATGAATACATGGTGTTTCGAAGGTTTGGGATTCTGTATGCCCGTAAGATCAGCAGGTGCGTATCGGTACTGTGATGAAAGGAATAAAAGAGAGAAAGATCGTGTATTGTGAATGATGTATTCAGAATAATTCAATGTGTATTTCGTGACCTGTTCTTTAATAAATCATACGATAAAAAATTGTTTGACTCGTAGTATGAACATTATAATATAACGTGCTGCGAAAGTCGTCGCTTAATTCATACACCCGAACCTCTTCTTGGAAGTGAAAATAGGACATTGAACCCTGAACCGAAGCATCAAGCCGCACGCGAGAAACAAATCCTCAGATACCAAGGTATTTAATGAGTTAAACCACTGAAATCCCGAATCCCGCTGAAGCCCTGAAATGTTTTTGCGGGTTAATTTACAATTGCTTAAATTACTATAATAACTGCGAAGGTCATGATTTCATTTCAAAGGTTTAAACTAGTTATCAAACATTTTCCGAGAGTAGCCGAAGCTCGATCAGAAAATAAGGCCAAACCATAAGTGGCACTTGCCCCTTTATTAAAATGATCTTCTTTTTCATCCCTAATACGCCGCTTTAGAGACGAGTTAAGAACTGGGACCGAAATACGTCCCGCAATTGTTTCTGGTATCGCCACTGGGGACGCGCCGGTCAGCTATTTGCCAAATTTTTTCCCTGACTTTCCTACAGTCCCAAAAGTCTTTGCGAAAATTTACTAGGAATGGTGGCGAATACAGTCTGATCCTACGACCGCGGGACATTACCAATCACAACTTAGTATCCTCCGACGTGTCTTTTTGTAAACCAAGAGCATTCTCAGAAAACTTGCATCCGTTTGAATTATTATAAACTGTATGTGTCTGTTTATGATGATCATAATTCTGCGCGTTGCTAGTTGAATGAAATCCTAATTGCAACGCAGTTCCTGGGTTCGCATGCGCCGACCTTGAAATAGGAGCGTTCATTTCCACACCCCGTGGTGGTGATATTTTACCTCCCATTACCTCGAGGAAGCTTCTTTTCATGGAGCGAAATGACTTCCCTCCAACGTTAAAATAATAGATGAAAGGGTTGCAGATCGAGTTTGCAAGCCCCAGTCCGTATGCAATGAGTCGTACTGTGTCCATAGGATTTGGTGATTTCTTGATGTGTTGCTCTAAGATTCCGTGGTAAACGGCAAACGGGAGCCAGCAAATTACAAAACAAACCACAACAATTAACAAAACGCGAAGAACTCTCTTCCTCGAGCGCAGCAAGAGATTTCCGTTGGTAATTGTTGCATCAGATGTAGGAGACCCGGCGGTCGATAGTCTACGATTTCTGGTCCATACTACTCTTATCACACGATAATACGAGACGGACATCGTTGCCAAGGGGATAATAAATCCAAGTAATACTGACGCGGCCAGGTATATCCTTCTCGACAGTGAATGACCTTGGGTAGTAGTGCAGTAGTAGATAGTGCTGTTTTTAAAATCAATTGGAACGACATCGGCTGAGTGAAAGACAGGGAGAGTTTGAGCTGTCCCGTAAACCCATGCAAAAAGAATCAACCAGGATGGTCTCAAGTACCAAGATCTTTGAGCACAAGATAGCTCTTGCTTTACCAATGTTAGGTACCGATCGATACTTATTGCTGTGAGAAGACTCACAGAGATGACTGGGCCCAGATGCTGCAAAGAATGTAAAAAAACAACCGTCATAATAACTCTGTTTATAAACTTATTTTTAGTTTCGTCTCAAAACGTAGACTATTAGAAAGTATCATTTAGAGTGTTACTGCTTATTTTGTAGAGCTGGCTTAAGTACAAACTCAATCAAGCGGCATCCAATAAAACCAGATACTCAGGCTTTGTCTGTAGTCCCTCATTTTTCTCTCTCCCCGCCGCGTGTCGCCTTTTCTCGCGTGGGGTGATTTTCACGCGCGCTCGCGTTTCGCTCGTTTTACTATACCTGAGGAAAAATGGGGGACTACTCGTAGTCTAGGTCTCCCTTGGTGTCCACGTCTTTCCCCACCCCCACCCCTTGCCCTCTCCAGTTCATCACTTGAAAATTTGGAAACTGAACCAAACAACAACTTCGAATTCTGATTATCAAGTGACTTGGTAACATAACGTTACCGTAAAACCTCCGTCCTTCCTTACCTGCATAAACCTCGACAGCTTGCAGAGGCCCTCACGGTCCTTGAGATATTTTTGAGGGTAGTAAAAATTGGTGAAGATGGTCAGTGGAATACACAGCAGGCACACCATCAGATCCGAGATTGCTAAGTGGAGAAGAAACAGCTGAACAGAGTTTTTGTGGCCTCGCCGACGTAAAGCAGTGATAACTGCTGCCACAACTCCATTACCGATAACCCCAATGATCAGAATTAGTCCTGAAAAAGAAACGGTCACTTTTCATTTAGTTGCTCAGTTGGCATTTTTCTCTGTTTCCCAGCCTCTACAAAGTCACTCCCAAAAGGTGTGTCTCTAGTTCTCTTCTGATATTTTTTGCTCATGCAAGAGAACCCACGACTGTCTTGCATTCTGGATTCCACGCCGTGGATTCCGTTTTTTAGGTACCGGGTTCCTGATTTTTTGTCAGTGGAACTTGGATTCCGGATTCCAATTTTCAGTTGGTGGGATTTCCGATTCCAAGAACTGTATTCCGGATTTCTTATACTACTACATGAGAAATTTCTGCAATTTGATTGGCTTAGAGCAGTGGTATTTCAGCCTAATTTGAGAAACCTACATGCACTTTTTATTCGAGTGTCAATGTATTTAGCACGAAAGTGCTAATTGGGGACACTATTTTTACGTCTCCTAATGGAGACGGACCGCCATTTTTACGTGGTCATCCGAGCCACGCGATGGTTTAGCCGCTTGCAGTGCAAAGGAATTACCTTCATTTCTCAGTCATTTTAAGACCCTGAGTAAAAGTCGGGCCCCGGGAATCGAACCCGCGACCTCCCGCTCTGCAGTCAAACGCTCTACCGACTGAGCTAATCCTGCCACGGTTAGGTGGGTGAAAATTACAAAACCTTTGCGGGTAGTAGTATAAACAAATAATGGCATGATTTGTACGTGATATTTGGCATAAATACCACTTGTGATATTTCAAAATTGTCTCAAATTTCACTCGCCTAACAGCTCGTGAAATTACGTATAACAATTTCGAAATATCACTCGTGGTGTTTATGCCAAATATTACTACAAATCATGCTATTAATACTAACTACATGAGAAATTTCTGCAATTTGATTGGCTTAGGGCAGTGGTATTTCAGCTTAATTTGAAAAACCTACGTGTGAAAATTACAAACCTTTTGCTGGTACTTAGTATGTAAACAAATAATAGCATGATTTGTACGTGATATTTGGCATAAATACCACTCGTGAAAAGTAATTTCAATTTCGAAATATCACTAGTAGTGTTTATGCCAAATATCACTACAAATCATGGTATACAAATATACAAATCCCAGGATTCCAGATTAAAATTTCCAGGCGGAACGGAGTCCGGATTCCCTTACATGAACGATGTTGATATTTTTTCGCAGTAGATTTACATTTCGGTTTCATTTGGCAGTGTTCATTACTGAAATGTTTCTTTTCTTATCGGAGACAAACCCCTTATTTTTAGAAAACAAAAAAGAAAACTGGCAAGAATCTTTATTTTTTAAAACATCATTTCTTTACAGAAGAGATTTTTTTATACCAGGCTGCATGGTTTTGTGACTGAGCGACCCATTTTTTCGTCTAGAAGAGTCTTTTCGGGATACTGGATTTGACCAAAATACTGTGCAGAATTCGGGGAATAAACAAAATTTTTTTGACGGGATACGGGAATTGACCGCTAGCCTGGAAGAGAGATTCGCCAAAGTTTTGGCTCGGGATACGGTTTTGGCAAACAAACCGGTATTTTGACAGAAATTCGGGATGCGGAATCAGTCGTCAAAAAAGAAGGGGAAATACAGGATTAGGGCCCTTCTTCCAGACCCTGAAGGGAAGGCGATGGGAAATGGGACAGTTTTCTTGCCTTTACAACGTCACAATTCATGGTCTGTTGCAGAAGTTATATTGCCAAGTCATCTCTCATTTCATCGGTTTACAACATCATAACTGAAACGAGCAATAACCCGCAAAGCCAATACTAAAAATGTTAAAATAAAATTTTGATCCGACATAACGAAATCATACTGTATGTGCAAACAGACATTAGCGAAGAAAAAAGGAAACTCTAGACTTAGCATATTGTGGGAAAAAATGAATTTATAAATTATGTAGAACCTAGCTAATTAACCTAAGTTGTGTTCGCACAAGCAGTGAGTTAGGTTTTATGAGTACAATGGCAATTTGGGCGGTTTTTGTGTTATGTAATACAGGCACGATTGAGAGTGTACGAAGAGTGAGGGATTTATTAACAAATTTACCTCAACAGAAAAAGTGGTGAAAAACGTTGGTGAAAATTACTCTAGTTAAGTGTAATCCACCCATTGTACGTAAACGTCATAGATGTCTGTAAATTAATTCAGAACGAAAAAAAATTGAAGTTATAAAATTTTTCATTAATGTTGTTTTTATAAACTAGGCAAATAGTCTGAAATCAAGAGCGAACCACACAGCATTTTTATCATTGCAAAACCTCGTAATGAATTAAAGTGGGCAATTAACTTTTAAGCGCTTCCAGCTAGTGTACAAAGAAAAATGGATGTTATCTAGAAGGTGGAAGCTGTATACCACGCAACATAGAGCTGTTGGAATTGTGTCTCAGCAAGAGGCTCACACAAGTTTTGAGTGTTATAGTTAATAGTACCTTATATGTCGACGAGAAAAAAGCATTTCATGATCAGTGCTACAAGTTATAGGTCATTAACCATAGCTTACCTAGTAATGCAACGGCTATTGCAAACGCTTTACTCTGGGCATTCCACAGCTTGACGGTTTCTACCTCATGATCACGCCGCATTTTTTGCTAAGATGCTCAACTAAAAATGCCGGGGACATAAATCTGGTTTCGTTGGAAACCGAAAGCGACGGCAATGCAACTGACAGTTCTTTGAGTGTTCATCACAGTTTTAGGCAAATGGAATAATATCAAGATGGAATATTTAATCAGTTATGATTCCGGTTCGTCCTATCCATTTGCAGTCATTGGCTATCCGTATTTGACTTTCTCGCTGCATGCAGCGGGTGGCTTGGAAGTGTGTGCGAAAAACAAACAATGAATTCGATTTTTAAACTGAACCAGCTATAAAACATGAAAGTAAAATTTTTCTATCACGTCGCGTGATTATGTTGTGGCTTTACGGTTCCATGCTCTACGAGCTCCTGACGTCATCTAAGGGGAGTAGTCGGATTTCAATTATACGGGGACGAATTAGCCAATTAGGAAAATTGCATTTTAATTCATTTATAGCCACAATTATGCTCTCACTTCTCTGCCTCGCAGGAAGTCCATTTTGGTGGGTTTTTGTTGTTTTCAGGATTCAAGCTAAGGTTGTTTTATAAACTGGGAGAAATCGTATTGAAAAAGCAGTAATTCACGGCAATTTAGCTAAACATGATATACAACGCCAGACTGCTAGTCCGGAAACCCGTATTTCAACGGATGTTACCAAGAAACGAGGGAGTGTTTACAATATGACAGTGGTCGACGCCAAACTAAAAAACCTACTGAATTACTAATTTGAAATTGTAAAAAAAGAAACATATGGTGAACCTAACGAGTAATTTGAAAAAGAAGTACAACATTTCGCTCCATCTCGGTGCTTTGTCTGAAAAATGACATCGTTGAATTTATTTGAAGATGGAACTGAAAATAATGTCATCAAGTTGTCAAAACGCTCAGGGAAAAGTCTTTTAAGATAAAAATCACATCACACATACTAAAAGAAACTAAAGGGATATCTACTTATATTTATTTAGTGGGTGCTAAATAGCGTGTCATAACAATACAAGTATTGCAAAAAAAAAACAATTATGACCGAAAAAGCCAGAACAACTCGACAGTAGATGTTTTGATGAAACTGGAATTTCCGATATTACGTTTTAATTGTTTTTTGAAATACAATATTTGCAATATGTTATAAAATGTTTGGTGTGTAGAAGAAAATTACTTAATGAAGTTAAAGCGCATCTCAGCAGCAGATAATTATAGTAGTTTGATAAAAATAAAACAAAAGAAGTTTTGCATTTAAAAAATGAGGCCCTTAACGGCTTTTAGGCAGAGCTTTCCTCGAAGCCCAACCTAAACTAGGGTGTAATAAAAGTGGTTTCTAAAACAGCCGTTTGAAATAAGATGAGGCCATTACCATTTTTTTGTTCATGAAGAAAGGGTGTACCATAATAGCACTTATGACGTCACATCTGGTTACCCCGGCAACTGGTTGTTTCCAAATTTGACCTGATCTGGGAGCCTGTTCCTGGAGCTTTTGTTGGTCGCAATCAATGTAGAGGTTTCAACAGTGTGGCAAATAACTTGAGAAAAGTATCAAGTAGCAAAACAAATTGCGCAAAATGGACCGGTTTGGAAAGATGGAAACATATCTGGACTCAGAACAGCCGAATCTATGTTAAAGAATCAAATAAGTCGACCCTAGTGGTAATTGATTCATACGAAGCCCTCGATAAATTTAAGAGCAGCCTTCCCCCACTGAAAATGATGAATTCCTAAAAATCATAGGCTCGTGGGTTTATAACTCGGAAGATCGACTTTCTGGAACTGAGTAGACTTATACAGGGATATGGTTGCTTCACCAGACAAAAATGACCCATTTAAGTGCGCTATTGATAATTACACTGAACCTCATTATTACTCAGTTAAAAAGTCTGGTAAAATATTTGATGACGCTTGTAAACAAAAAGGGTTTTCGATATTCCACTGTAATATTCGTAGTTTGGGGAAAAGCAAATCCTTGCTGCATAATAATATAAGCACAGTTAAGACAACGCCAGATATCATTGCAATATTAGAGAGTAAAATTAATGAAAATACGAGTGCAAATTTGAATATTCCTGGTTATACTTTTGTGAACACTAACTCAAAAACGCAGGCAGGAGGTGGCATAAAGGCCTCCTGCCAAAGCTGTTCTCAAACTATTTTAAATATGCCAGTAATGTCCACAAATACAATACCACATATGCATCGAAACAGAATCTTTACGTAAAAAAAGTGCGAACTAATACGGGGAAACCAACAATCGGATATGCTGTATGTACCATCTGGGACAAAATTCCCATAACTCTTAAAGAACTAAACACATACCAATTCCAAAAACAGTTGAAACCTTATTTGCTGTCAGAACAACATAGTTAACATAACTTAAGCATATACTCTTTCTTTCTTAATACATTGTATTTTAAAACTGCTTCTTTGGAAATAAATTCTATCTCAATTCTCTAAAACTTTAAATTCTGGAGAACTGGCTAGAAAATCTTAGGATTATTTCAGCTCCAGGCCTTATTAAGTACAAATAAATACATATATATATATTTTTTCTCTTTCATGTGTGTATGTAATTAATTAAGTACAAGGCGAATAAAGGTATTGTTGTTGTTGTTGTTGGTTTGTTTACAAGGACCGGAGCTTTTATTCTTTAGATTTTTATTTCGGGCGCGAAACCGAGTTACCAGTACTTTTGCGATCTCTATTAGCCTGGGTGCAAGGCTTCTCCAGTTTCGTCCGCTATATATGGACATAAAAAATACTGCACTCAGCCTCCTATGCAGCATTGTAAGGTAGTTCCGGATTCTGGAATCAAGGAAATTTTTGCTTGTGGAATCCGAATTCCTGGGCTTAGGAATCAGAATTCAGATCTAGGAATCAGGAATCCCACTAACAATTGAAATCCGAAATCCAAGTTCCACTGACAAGGACCCCGGATCGAGTATGCAATCCAGAATCCAATTAAGACTGTCTTGGATTACCTTACCGCGGACCCTCGCCAGTACTTATGACTTATTCGCAAGTTAATAGATCTCCTTTCGATTGTGTTAGCAATCGTAACCCAAAGTCCCAATTTAAATGTGTCTGTTTCACTATCCAACTATCCTTACCAAATGAAAGAGATAAAGACACAAAATACTTTTCTATGTTTTTATTAATTGAGAGGATGGTGTACTTGTAACAAATATAGAGAACGCAGGTTTATAGACTCACCACTTTGATAAGAAAAGCTAAATTCCTTTATTGCAATAACCTGAAGAAATTATCGAGGCTTTAAAAACTTCGCCCGGATCCAATCTTGGCTATAACAATTAGCGTTCTTGTCGGCAGTAAAAAGTAATGGCAAAATATAGGAGAAGTGTGGCGTCACGTTACCATGGTAGCAAAATTTGTGGATCAAAACAACAGGGAGCTTACCGCATTTATTCGATTAAACTCCGCGGCCTTTATTAAAACTTAAGCGTTTCCAATGCGGCGTTTATTTCGAAACCACTTTTTTTAAAATCACTGACAACAGTTATTGTAAATCGTTTGTAAATGTAATGAAATTTAAAGGTTCCAATTTCTCCTTTATTTTGCTGAGACAGAATCGAATAGTAAATGTCTAAATGGTGTAAATCTATACCAAGTAGTACCGAAGTTTTTCTTATTATCCCCGAGTAAAAGCCGCATTCTTCTCATTACTGAGGTGCTGCGTTTATTCAAGAGCGGCGTTAGTAATTTTGCTTCCATTTGTGGTGTTTAATCGAGGGCGGCGTTTAATTTAATCGATTAAATACGGTTAGCCGCGACGCCGGCGACGGCGAAGAGAACTGGAAAAAAGTAATAGGTTTATATCAGCGAAACAACAACTGTACACGTGCATCACGCTTTTTTGCGATGTGAAACTTGCCAATTTCACGCCCCACCTTTATACGAAGTAGGCCAGCACAACGCAAAAATTGTCTTTTTCTTTTTCTAACCTTAGACACGGTCCTTTCGGATTTAGCCCCAGAAAATTTCGCAACATTTGACAAATTAAATAAAACTGAATAAGATCGTCGAAGTTTGAAACAGTGCGAATTAACTTTTTAAGTGATGTTTTCGGTTTGTTGTCATCCAGAAATTTTACTACTATGGCCACGTGACGTTACGACTTCTCCTCTCTATTAAAGTGCTTTAAACAGTTTTTATATACAAATTCTATCTAATACCAAGAGAAAATGAGTATTATACTCATTCACATTTCGTAAACTAAACTACAAAGCTAAATGCGAGTCTTAAAATAAATTCAACACGACTGAGTTTCTAAAAAGGATTTTTTTTACAGCGTTCCGAAAAAAAACCATATAACCAAAAACCCTCTGAATCAGTATTCAGAAACTTGGCCTCATGCTTTAAACTTGATGAAACAATCTTGCTCATACCTAAACTAAAGGCTCGTAAATTATTAACTTATAAACTAGTAATAACCATAGGTTACGGAGTGCGGGCGACAACGAAGCGCTTTTGCTCCATCGCTGTGCTTCGCGTAAGTTTCAAGCGACAGATAGTTAAAACAAGCGTGATCATATTAGGAGTGAGAGCAAATCCAAACGCGCGTGATCAAATTGCGTTCTGTGCATTCCATTCATTCTTAGTGGAAGTCCAAACGAATGCTGTCTACATGCGACGCATGCGTAATAACAACCTAGAGATTAGGATTGCGGGCCCCTCTTGTCGCCCGCAATAATTATGTTCATCGGTATGGCTCTGATAACATAAGAAGTAGTACGAGTATTTCTTTTCAGTTAATCTATTCTCTTCAATTGAGATTAGATAATCTTCTTAGTTCACAGTTTAATTCCAAATAACATTGGAGGATCACTTGTATCTGCAAGTTTTTAAAATATCTTGTCTGATGCCACAAAGGTGGATGGCCCGTTCATATTTGACCCGAAACAATTAAGTTGTGCCACCTTCGATGTGGGGCAATGATCGTAATTATCACCAAAAGTCTTTCGCCGTGTTGGTTTACTGGCGATCTACCAAATTAAAGGGTGGCATTGGCGATCTGGCTCTGCCTCCCATAACCTCCAGAAATCTTTGATACATAGAGCGGAAGGACTTTCCGCCAACGTTAAAAAAGTAAATGAAAGGGTTGCAAATTGAGTTCATTATGCCCAGGCCATAGGTTATGAGGCGAACCGCATCCATAGGGTTGGGAGCTTCCTTGAGGTATTGCTCCAAAAAACCATGGTAGATGGCAAATGGTAGCCAGCATGCTACGTAACATATAACAACAATTACCAAAACACGAACAACCCTTAGTCGAATTCTCTTCAGAAGCTCAGCATTTGCAATTTCATTAGCATCAGATCCACTATCGTCAACAGAGAACGAAAGCCTGGTATTCCTTGTCCATATTGTTCTTATTACTTTAAAGTATGATATGGTTAATACCATTAAGGGTATCACAAACCCGAAAAACACCGAAGCAATTAGGTAGATCTTTCCAAAAGGTTTATTGCCTTGTGTAGTAGTGCAGTAGAAGATGGTGCTGTTTTCATAATCAATCTGAATGACGTTTGTTGAAAAGAACACAGGAATAGTCTGGGCTATACCATAGACCCAAGCGAAGGCGATCAACCAAGTCGGTCTCAAGTACCAAGGTCTTTGAGTACAAGATAGCTCTTGCTTTACAAATGTCAGGTAACGATCGATGCTTATTGCTGTCAACAGACTGACGGAGATTACTGGGCTGAAGTGCTGAGGAGGAAAACAGAAAATGAAGATTATAATCTAATGGAAGCAATATTGGCGGCACATGACAAATTAAAGCTGATATTGAGAGTGCTATTTTTTTCTCGGAATTACCAAATCAGAATTAGAATTTTAGAAGGCACTCGACGGCATAGTCTGACAAAACAGTCGACATTATGCGACGTCACCCCTGGTTTCTCCGAGAATTAAATTAAATAACGTCTGAGAAAAGAGCGCAGAAATTCCATACTAATGACACGTCACTGCAGAGATCTGGGTAGTGTTCTGATTGGCTGAAAATTTGCTTCAACCAACCAGAAGCACTACTCAGATCTGGGTAGTGACGTGCCATCAGTATGGAATTTCTGCGCTCGTTTCTCAGATGTCATTCGCGGGAAAACCAGTGGTGGCGTTGCCAAATGTCGGATGTTTTCTCAGGTTATCGACAGCACAGAGTGGCCGACATATCAGCATGATCGCGAATTGGACGGTCCCTGAGCTTTAAGTATCACCCTGGGCAATGAGGTCTCTAAGGTTATAGATGTAAATATAAAGCTGAGAAAAGTAATCTTTGCCACCCACAATTTCAATTAAAGGTGCATTTGAATCTGGAGTCGCTAGAGCTCATTGGAAAAGAAATGTACCTCGCTATGACGACCGTCAAGGGTGCATTATTGTCATCTGGTATAGAGCACTAAAGTGTGACGTCATAAGAATGAAATTTCTGAAATTATGGGATTTGTCAGGATATTCTGAAAGAACAATGTCCAAGAGGCCTACTTGCCAAAAATGAGCTTTTCCGGGCAAATTGTCTCTGAGATCGTAGCCCAGTTATGCTTAATTAGAAAACTCAAAAAAAATTTGCCCCGAAATGCTCATTTTTGGCAAGTAGGCCTCTTGGGCATTGTTCTTTCAGAATATCCTGACAAATCCCATAATTTCAGAAATTTTTTCAGAAAGTTTTCTAAGCATAACTAGGCTGCGATCTCAGAGACAATTTGCTCCGAAATGCTCATTTTTGGCAAGTAGGCCTCTTGGACATTGTTCTTTCAGAATATCCTGACAATCCCATAATTTCAGAAATTTCATTTTTATGACGTCACCACTTTAGTACTCTATTGTCAATAATTATTGACAACACTAGATTGGAGTCCTTAATCCAAGTTTTACTGACAAAGTATCCGGAATCCACGGCGTGGAGTCCAGAATCCAAGACTGTCTTGGATTACCTTACATGGGGCGTTATGTGTCATGTGTGAATTTCCTCGATTTTCTAAAGTTCATGCCCGTTTATGAAACCTGAAGAAAGAATTTTCTCAATTTGTAAAATAGAAATGGAGGACGAATACCATTTTCTAAATATATGCTTTGCTTACCAGGAAAAAAGATGTTTGTTACAGTCTAACCTCTCCTTACTGACGCCTTTGTAATACGGACACCTCCCTATTACGGACAGTTCGTTTGGTCCCAAAAAAGCCAAAAATCTTACGTTCCCTACCTCTATAATACGGACACCTTTGTAAATCGGACACTTGGTTCTGTCCCTTTGGTGTCCGTATTAAAGAGGTTTGACTGTACTAGATTATTTGGAAAAAGAATTTAGAATAAAAATAAGCAGAATGTCACCTAACAAAATATTCATGTTTCTAATAAACCCAATAGCGCAAAAGCTAAAATACAAAAACTAATAGCAAAACATGTACTTGAATGCTTTGAAAAAAGGAAAGGGCCGGGGAAGACGGCAAAAAGTAAATACTCTAGGACTTAATGAATTTTATTAAAATAACTTATGAGCCATATATGGTTAGGAATTTTTGTTGTTTTTAATTTTACTTATTTGGAAATAGTTGATATTAATACTATTTATTGTATAAGACTCCAAATAAAAAACATGCATGTAAAAAAAGCCCCAGTGTTATGGGGTGAGAAGAGGGTTGGGGGGTGTGGGAGAGTGGGGTGAGGTTGAGAGTTCGATTTGATCCAGGACCTGCATGAGTTTTCGGAGGGAGGAGGGGGGAAAGGTTGAGATTTCAAATTGACTGATACATAATAGGAGTTCTAGTACCTGCATGAATCGCGATATCTTGCACAGGCCAACGTCTCTTTCGTGGAACTCAGTTGGATAGTTAAAGTTTGTAAAAATGGTCAGCGGAATGCACAGAAGGCACACCATGAGATCCGAGATTGCTAAGTGAAGAAAAAACAGCTGCACAGAGGCCTTTTGGCCTCTCTTGCGCAAAGTTGTAATAACTGCCACCACAATGACATTACCAACAAGTCCAATTATCATGATAAGCCCTATAAAAGATCGAAACACATACAGTGTATATACCTCATTGCAATAACGTTGTCTAAGAAAAAAGTGAAAAAAAAAAAAGACAAATAGGAGTAAATAAGGCTGACTAATAAACAATTATAGAATGTATTCATTTACAGCTTAGGCGTTTTTTAGGCGTAAAAAAAAAGCAAATGCGACGGCTGTACTCGTATGTTTCAAATGAATGCACGCTTATAGCTATGGTTAAGTAACCCTAATTATTTCCTATTTGGCTTTTTCCTTTCTTTCATTTTTCGTTTCAGCATTTTTTCCGATGACAATGTCATCAAAACGTGTATATATTTTCGCATTATTGTCAGTTATGCCAACGGAAGGTTAAAAATTGAACCATAGTAACTGACTACAGTGCGTTTGGCCACTTACGTCCAGTACATTTAAGTACATTTCTTCTTCACTAAAAAAAGCCAAATTATAAAAGAGAACCTTAGGACATGATAGCTAGTTTTTCCGTCTAGATGTACTGAAACAATTCAGTCACCTGGTAAGGGAAATTTGCCAATTAAACTGGAAATATTCTAAAGCAACTTTGTGGATGCTCATTCGTTTAAATTGAAGTAAATCTTGTATCGAGGTAACTTACTGCGTCTTTCATAAACACGCGAATTCTGAAGTTGAAAACCCAACTGACGTTTGCGTTTTTCGCTGCCGTCGATCATCTTAGCTGACCTCCTAGGAAACAGAAGTTTACTTCAACGAGTTTAAAAGGTCATGGTTTGTGATTTGTGATTATATTGGTAGATTTCGATCCTTTTTGTGTGTTTTTGCGTTTCAAGGTTCGTTGCTTGTGATCTTAATTACGATTGACGGAAAACGTAATTCTGCAGGCGGCTTTTGAACTTCGGAGTTCGCGTGTTTTTGAAAACCGCAGTAAAGACACTGCTTTTAAGAGCGACGGTCAGGAAAAATCGACCAAAATCTTAATTTCGTGGAAAGAGTTGAAAAATAAATTTCTTTCATTTTTTGTTCATAGACAGCTTTTAGGTTGATAAGGCCCGGTTCAGACGCCGCTCCACTCATCAGGGGCACCCAAGGTCAATTTTTGTAAAATATCTGGTCGGAAGACGATTTGAGATCTAGAATTTTCGGAACTTTTGTTGTAAAATTTCTTGCTTGCCTGCCTCTCCTAGGATTTTCGAACATCTAAAAATTGGTATAATTGCCCATTTTTAACGGATTTTACCCTAAAAAGGTCACCTAGAATTTTCGGGAGCCTTTTTTCTCGCTTAAATTTTCGAAAAGGTAAGTTTTGATCCCTGTAATGTTCGTATCACTAGACCTTCAGCTAGGAAACGCGCTAGTATTCTGGTACTCACTTTTTATCGAAAAATAAGGACTGAACAATGGTAATTCGCTAAGGATGACGGAACAGGAAGATATTTCGTCTTGTTACTTTAGGATCAAGGAAACTCAGAGCCGTTACATAAGTTACTTTGCCCACGCTTCACTATATTTACCGGACTTCGATACTTTCGTTTGGAGGCTGCCTCCAGGAACCCAAGCCAATCCTCAGGTATGCTTTAGATAAATGTCTAAATGTGTGAATAAACGAGGACTGGGAAAATTTGGAGCTGTACCACATGAAGAATAATACCGCAGAAAACAACTACTAAATTAAAGTTTTTGTCATTGAGAGAACAACTTACATCAGATTACTTATCTATCTAAAAGCTATTTATGGACAAAAAATGAAGGAAGTCGATTTTTCAACTCTTGCCACTCAATGGTCGATTTTTCCTGACCGTCGCTCTTATAATGCACAATGCTTTTAATATTAAGAGACCTTCAGACAGGATTTGTGTATACAATATATAATTATAATTAATTCTAAAGTAATCTGTAAGAACGTAGCGTGTAGCCCTCCTCGACGTTGTCATAGTAACGGTTTAAGCTTCCTTCCTCTTGCTTGCAGCTGCGTTGACTTTGTGGTTACAGTCAGGATTGGCGTCATACTGACGCGTGCCGCTTCACTTACAATTAGTTGTTACAAAGGAATCGTCGCGCACTGGCGATGAGAGGACTAACCTATCTTATCTATCATATAAACCTGATCATTTACGTCAATTGAAACCTAAAAAAAAAAACAACTTATAATAGCTGTCTTTTAATAATTTAAATAATTTACAGTATTGTGATGCAAATTAGACCAAAATGGCTGCAGCACACTGAGTAGTATTCATTGATAGCTATTACGGTAAACTTCGCAGTTTTTGATGATTCAATGTGGGCAGTCATTTCACACGCCCTAGATCACTATATACTGCAGGTGATATCTCTAAAATTAAAACAACAAACTCCTTTATTAACATGCTTCTCCCAGTACAACTAAGCCTTCCATTAAGCTCAAAGTTAGATCAACGTAAGGTCAGGAATGACACTCCGTACCTTTTTTTAAATTCTTTCTACGTCTGTTCAGTCAACAAGCTTCCTTTTCCGAATTGTAAGGAAGCACACTGAGTGTCGAAAAGGCCAGTGAAAGATTTCTTCTCTGGACGAATGGCACGAACTCGTTCTCAAAATGATAACTCAGGGCCAAAGGGCAGGTGAAGCGAACTGCATTCCCCGGGCTGCATTCACGATCGCCAACACTGAGGTAAACATTATTGCAGCCCAGAGAAGCCACAGTTCATTCGAAAGCTAAATTTCATGATGAAATAAGGCGAAATAGCTTATTTATCCATCAATGATTTCATGTCACTTACCTAACAACGTCACAGTTATGGTAAATTCTTTACTTCGTACTCTCCAAGGCTCGTTGAATAGATTTGAATGATTCATTGTTTCATGAAACCTCACAATATTATTTTATATGCAAAAATTAAACTAAAAACTTCAAGAAGCCAGTTTGCGCTTAAACCCGTCTTGTTTACCAGCGACATTCAGTAACAGCAAGTTGGTGAATATATTGACTTCCGCTTGCTGCACGTACGTTATTTTGAAACGGACAAGTTTTGGGCTAGTTGCCAGAGGTTAGTGACTATGGGGCAAAGCTTACGTCAAGTAACGCAAGACTGAATGATTTCCCGGATGCATAATTTTTCAAATCTTTATTCTGGCGATACTTATGGCAACGGGAACGTCAAAAAACACCATAGATTTTATGAGCTAAACAACAACTCAGCACTTGCATCACGCTATTTGTACATTTCTTTGCCGTCCCTGCACAACTACGACAACTTGAAATGACCAAATTTTTAGTTGACTTGAGAACGGGAAATGCAAGGTGATAAACTACTATCCCTCTCTGATCTCGGACGCAGATCCCTCTCTTCAGTTCCAGCCATCAAGTAACTGGCTGACTTGGTATAACGGCGAAAAAAATTCAAAGAACGTGAAGTCAATTTTTCAGCGACATTTTCATTGGCGTCGCCCGTTGTCGGATCGTAAGGTCCCTAATGACCCACCAATACAACTTCGTCCCCAAGGTTCTCTCTGTTTTTCGAGGCAAGAGAAATAACCCCCAGCTGGGAAAGATGCTCAACAAAAAAGAGCATTGGTCAATTCGTTCGATGAGCGTTTGACTAGCAAAAAAAAATTGTTTGCAAACTGATCAGTGTACTAGGTTCTTGGGCATTGCCCGTCGACCCCTCCCAGTCACCCAACGTCTTGCCTCAAGTAAGAAGTCAGTTGACCACTTTCAACCGGTATTCTATTCATGAACTCAGTTGCTATGAACATTGATACTTTTGAGGAACGGTTACTTCAACGTAATTCCCTGTTGGGGCCGCTTTTAACAACAGATTGTGGGGTGTTTCTTGAGTTTTTTTACGTGTTGCATTGTCTTCGTCTGAATATTTTTCCCCGTGTGAGGAATCGAGATTCCGGATTTCGGAATAGAAGGAAAATTTTTTATTGTGGAATCCGGAATCCGGGAAAATTTTCTTGTAAAATCTGAAATCCTTAGGCTTTGGAATCCGGAATACAGCTCAAGGAATCCAGATTCCAATCGTTAGTGGGATCCAGATTCCTTAAGTTGTATCCCGAATTGTTCCAAATTCAAATTCCAAGGTTGCTCAATTTTTTTTTGAGTGCTTGTGTTACGCTACTTAGTACTACAGGATATAAAGTACTAAAGTATTCGTCCTGGATTCATATGGTTTACCTGGCCGCACAGCAATAGAACAAACTTTTACAATTTCCGGTTTGTGCTAATATATGGTGTGCTTTTCACCTTAGATATTCTGTCACAGGCTTGCGAGAAGCACATCCAAACTCGATTTTCTCTTTGGCAATGTCGGTTTTGGAGTATTACACAGGCAATACCGTCGGTTGCATCAAAGCGTGGACACGAGACCAAAAAAACGTGTTGTAATAGGGTGCTAGACATGACGTGTTTTGTCGCCAAACATTTGAAGTTTGACAGCCGTTAAAGCAAACTGTCACGCCTGAGGTAAGTTGTTTATTTGTTTTTGATCAGCGCGTTCCGCTCAAATTTCATCTTTCACAACTTTCAGTCACATTTCTCGCTCAGAAACAGCACACTTGCCTCCAAATATTATTCTTAACGTCTAAAAATCTTGCAAGGACGGATTCTGTTGAGCAAAAACAAATCAAGTCGACAACATCCCCCTACTCCAAACTTCGAACGTTTGGCGCCAAAACATGTCACTTTTGCACCCAATGAGAACATGTTTTTTCCTCACGTGTACACGTTTAGATGCAACCGACAGTAATGTTATGTCATGTTTCAGTGCATCGCGGTGCTTTCTGCCCAAGACACAGAGCTAGGGATCCGGTTTCAGTAGCCTTCTCTGATCGAGTCGCTTTATTTTCTGACTTTAACCATTTAGTTGAGTTACTGGACCAGGTTTTGCTCCCAGTAGCGGTAGCGCCTTCCATATATTAGAATTATGCTCAAAAAACATTTTGAAAACGGTCACTGCGAATTTTATGAAAAATTTTCGTGTCGGAAACGTATGTTTCCCATACAAAGCCTTGGAGTACAATGCAAAGTTTGTCTGAGTCACAAGATATAGGTATCCCCCAAGGAACCATCATCGGACCTATACCCTTTCTTCTTTTCATTAATGGCATTCCATTACATATCTAGAATTCTAAGATCGATATTTATGCTGACTGACGATGCTACGTTAACATCTTGCTTTAGGTGGAATAACACCCTTTAGTAAACGAACCATAGCATTCAAGGGGACTACTTAAAGAGCATTCAGTGTTGGGCTGAATATGAGCAAAATGGTAATAAATAAAAAGCGCTGAAACGAAAGCTATGTTTTTCATCTGTGCTATGATAGGTAAGACTAAAGCAACGAGGTAAATCGTCCCAACAAGAGACTGGCCGCGTGTGTAGTGCTGCAGTAGTAGATGGTGTTCTTATTATAATCAAGAGGAATGAAATTGCTTGCATAAAAAATCGGAAGGTATCAAACTGTACCGTATATCTAAGCAAAGGCGATCAACCAGCCTGGCCTGAGATACCATTTTTATAATAATTCCCAAATAAAACAAAAATAGCAATGAGTTTTTAAGTATTTGACCTCTGTTTGAACTAAGAATTCAATATTCAATTTTGACAGTTTTTCGTAAATTGAAACATATCGCTATCACAGGAGCCGATTACTTCTATCAAAACAAAAAATGGCTAAAAAATGCGTGATTGGGGTCTTTTTTTGTTTCTTTTATAACGCAGCTTTTAGTTTTGCTTTTATGATAACAGGGAAATTGTTTCTTCTACACCGTCTCCTATTTATTCCATACTTTAATAACCCCCAGGGGGGAGGGGAGGGGAGGGGAGGGAAGGTGGGTACTCCCAATGATGGCCTTTACGGCCTATATTACCCCAAAAGGGGCGTAATGAAAAGGTAGGAATTTCACCACCTGAAGAATATGATAGCAAGAATATGATAGGTTACAGGGAACTTTGTAATTTCTTTCTGTACTATGACCAAAAAGTGCTACTAAAGGATTTTATGGCGCTGTAAAAAAGTCGAGCAAATTTTCCTGTTTTGTGGTTTATTTATGAGGAAAGTGCATTTACCGCATGCGCAGTTTAAAGAGGGAACGGCAAAGTTCCAAACTAGGTATGTGAAAGGGGTACTATTTGTCAATGAAAGGTATACGAAAGGGGTACCTTTTCTGTTAAAAATGATATATATTGAAGGGTAAGGGGTTGGACCTCGAAGAGGGGGCGGGAGGGGGGGAGGGCCTCTCAGAAAAAAAGCTTTGTTAAGTATCCATCTCCCGGGCTTTACCATGCGGGCAGAGGTTTCTTTCCGGTACTGTCAGTCACGTAGTTGGTTTGTTTACGCACCTGAGCAAACTACGCGACTAACAGGCAAAGCGTACGACTTTGTAATGCTAAACACCGTGCCAGAAAAAAACCTCTGCTCGCAAGGTTTCCCGGCATACTTGAGTATTAATTGATTAGAAATGATTTCTCGCTTTCGTTAAAGGGGCTACGTCAGGGGGTTATTATTATCATTATCATTTTGTTGTTTTAAAAAGGCATTAATCAGCAAAAGTGTCAACATTTTTTCCCCTTGATACGTTTTATTTCTGAACGCTGAAGTGCTAACAGCAGAATCGAAAATCTTTCTATAATTGTTCTTCTTGTTGCCTTTAATCATTTACTTGGTCGGTTCGATTGTTTTCTCCTTTTAAACAGACTGCAGGAAAAGATTTACAGGCAGGGAGGAAAACCTACAGTAACGTCCTTAATAATATGAGCCGATACTGTTGCCTGGTTAGCTCAGTTGGGAGAGCGCCGGTCTGCCGAGCGGGAGGTCGCGGGTTCAAACACCGACCGGACTAACACTCAGGGTCTTTAAATAACTGAGAAGAAAGTGCTGCCTTTGTAACGACATCTGCAAATGGTTAGACTTTCTAGTCTTCTCGGATAAGGACGAAAAACCGTAGGTTCCGTCTCACAGCACTTTCACTGATCTGTTCTTGTGGGACGTAAAAGAACCCACACCACTGTTCGAGAAGAGTAGGGGACGTAGACTTCGGTGGTGTGTCCAAACTCTACGGGTTGTGAGATTGGGTAGGGATGGCACCTTGCATGGAACATATGAGTTCCGTTCGAGCCCATTCCCTATGGGCAGGCCTGTGTCCAGAAAAGCTGGTAAAAGTAAATAAAACTTTAAAAAAATCCTGCCATGCATGATGCAGTGATTAACAGATTTAGAACTTGGCTTGATCCAGACTCTCCCAACTCTGCAAGTTTGTTTACAAATGCAATTTTTGTATTTGATATCGTTTTTTTATCGGACAACAGAAAGTGAATTAACATCCAACTCCTCTACTTCTGGCCTCGTCTTGTTTGGTTATGCAGGCGGACCGTGAAGACAAGGACCTGGTTACTACTCTTTGAGACGATAATCTCTCCCTCCTTCCCAATACCTCAAGGAACCTACTTTTCATGGAACGATAGGACTTGCCGCAGACGTTGAAGAAGTAAATAAAAGGATTACAGACCGAGTTTGATATGCCCAGTCCATAGGTTATGAGGCGCACCGGATCCATAACGTTCGGAAATTCCCTGAGATGCTGCACCAGTAGCCCAAAGTAGAGAGCGAAAGGCAACCAGCAGACGACAAAGCAGATGACAACAATAACCAACACGCGAAGCACCCTTCTTCTGGACTTTTCCAGCAACTTGGCATTTGTGATTTTGGGACTGGATATGTCACCTGCAGACGCAGCAAGTCTGCGATTCCTGGTCGATATCACTTTTATAATTTTGCGATATGATATAGTTAAGACTGCTAAAGGTATCACGAACCCAAGTAAGACTGAGGCAACGAGATAAATTGTTCCTTCAAGAGACTGGCCTTGCGTAGTGCTGCAGTAGTATATGGTGCTGTTATTATAATCAAGACGAATGAAATCGCTGGTATAAAAAATCGGAAGGCATTGAACTGTACCGTATACCCAAGCAAAGACGATCAACCAGGCCGGCCTGAGATACCAAGGTCTATTGATGCACGTTAGTTCCTGCTTCACAAATGTCATGTACCGATCAATACTTATTGCTGTCATCAGGCTGACTGAGATTATTGGATTGAGGTACTGCGGAAAAGAAATAGATTACAGAACACACTGAATACGTAGTTTTTCGTAGTTTTCTGTATTGTTCTATAGAGATATATGGTTATAATTTGGGGAGATACGAGGAGCCATATTGCAGAGAAATGTCACACAGACATTTATATATTTCATATAGCCTCAAATTAAAATTACACTCACATGTATTCGCAAGCGGAAAAGAATCCGGATTCTTTGGAATAATTGTTTACACGTCAAATTTGAAAATTGCAGTTTGAGTACATTTTTGATTTTCTTTTAAAGAATTCGGTTTCAAATTCTCTACATAACTATGCAGTTAATCCGGGACGTTTTCACCCATCTATCCATCGATTCGCTCTGTAGTTCCTTTTGTCGTCACCCGCCTAGTACATACACTAAATTAAACAACCGCACAAACCCCAAGTCATGGCGCTCTTGGACCATTTTGCTGCCGCGAGAACAAGTTTAAGCCCTTTGCAAACGGCCTCAACATTGTTGGCCAGCAACTCTTAATGTTGGGAGTTGTTGGCCAACGATGTTGAGTCCGTTTTCACGTAACTTAAAGTCTGACCGGTTTCAAACCTTGCGCAACAAGTCCCAACAACACGCAACAACATGCAACAAGAGTGTGCAAAAGCAAGTAACATGCATCCAAACAATGCTGGGAGTTCTTGACCAACAATGCTTCGTACGTTTGCTTGGGGCTTTAGTATATCTGTCTTCATTGAAAGAGTTTAAAAATTTATTTGGTCTGAAAAAATGGTTTTTACGCCTATTAATGCGACTAGGTCCTCTGAAATTACCACCTGAATCTACTTTAAGCCCAGTCCAAACGGACACACATTTTTGGCCAACCACTCCTGCTGTCCGTTTGCACACCTTGTTGCATATTATTCGCGGCTTGTTGTTTGGAGTTGTTGAATTTCGCAAAGTTTGAGACCGGTCAAACTTTAGGGTAAACAATGCTGGGAGTTGTTATAAACGTCGGTTTGCACTAAGCTTAACATTAGAATTATTTTACCTGCATAAATCGCGCTAACTTGCAGAAACCATAATCTCTTCTGGTCATATCTTTGGGGTGGTAAAAATTTGTGAAGATGGTTAGGGGAATGCACAGCAAACACACCATCAGATCGGAGACGGCCAAGTTAAGGAGAAAAAGCTGAACAGATGTTTTCTGACCTCGCCGGCGCAAGTTTGAGATAACTGCTACCACGATTCCATTGCCAAGAAGTCCAATGATCAAGATTAACCCTGTTGAAACATTATGTTGCATTTGCATTTATTTATTATTTTTTTTAAGGAAATGTGCTGTCTCCCAAGGCGTATTTGTGACGGAAGATTTCATTTGGGCAAGATTATCAAGTTTTCGTGTTAATTTTTACAAAGTTTATCGTATCATTTATTGTTAGGTTAACCGGTATTTTAAAGGCCCGTGAACAAAAGGTCATATAAAAGGGGGGGTTAATGTCAAGAATCTTAAATTTTTAAAAAAATCTATCGAGTGGTTTAAAAATTATTCGCTAATTTATATTTGTTCAATTACACCGGAACATTTACAAAACCGCTAACACGAGCTCCTCAATTCATATTAATCAAATCCCTCTTTCTAGAAATCGGCTGAAGCTATCTCCATGATCTTTCACAAACGTTTTTAAAAAGATTGAAACTACTATGAGGTGAAAATGCAAGCCAAAAGCGCTTCGTTTTCTACAGATAACAGCCGAACATCAAGATCGTCCACTTTTTACCCTATTTCTAACCATAAATATCTCGATAACGCTCTAACAGATTCCGCTTAAACTTCACCGAACATCCAGAGGCGGCTATTGGAGGAAGAGGCTCCCGTGAACGATTTTGGAAGAACAGTTCCTGCAAGTAAATAGGTGATGGCGTCATTTCGTTGCTATGACAACTCCGATGTCATTGTAACCCTGATCATGACAAATTTTCATCTTTATCTAATACAAGGGTGGTGGCAATTTTTCCAAATCTTTGTTTATGGCGACGTTGTTTATGTTCAAACTTGGGAGGTATTGACCCTGAAAAACTGTGTCTAGCCACCTTAACACCAAGGACTTAAAATTTCACATCACAATAACCTCGATTCAGATGGGTTTTTATGCAAAATGATTGATGGTGGATTGTTCTAGTTTCTTTTTAATTATTAACGACGTCATTATTACGTGAATTCAATTGTTTAAGATTATCAATTTGTTAAACCACTTCATGATTTTATCGACAACTTCCTATTTCAGCACAATGCTTTTCGCTTTATAGCTATTTTGGGGAAAGAATGGTGAAGTGTATGGGTTCAGCCATAAGCCAACATGGCTTCATAATGATGTCAAATTTCGTCATGGTATCAATCAATTATACCGAGACTTTAACAATGATGGACAATTCTGTGTTAAGATGTTAGGATGCCGCGCCTAATAAATGCCCGGGCTCCATTACCAGCCGCTGTTCGGGATATGAGCCTGCTTTCCTCAAGCGAAAACAATCTCTTCTCGGGGAAGAACAAAACCGGAGCCGATAGAGCAAGGGAAATCCAGTCCAATAGATACCCGGTCTGAATAGGGTTAATTAATTCCAAAATAGATTTGTTTTAGTCTGTTGTACATATGTTATACTCGACAAGATTTCTTTGGTAAATCGCAATTATTTTGGTCAAATGAAGGCTTCATTTCGCTAGTAAATATATCCCTCAAAAGGCACTATTAATAGAACATTCCGATTATAACAAGGTCATCAGAATTAAGATCAGACGTGACACAAAAGCTTCTAACGAGTGTCTAATGTAGATTATTAACGTTTAGCCTGAATAGTTGAGAGTATCTTTGTAAATTAAAGCTCAATTTTTTCTTGGTAGGAGTTGAGATGTACATTTCGGAAAAGGGTTTCTAACGTTTCGTTACTTTTGCCTTTTATTTATAAACATCCAACGACCCTTTACTATGCATTCTAATGATTTTTTTAATAACAAATAATGCTAAGGTGACTCTAATTCGTTATGCAAAACATATATCGTCCCGCTCAATTTTGTTCCTCCTAAAAATACAGGAAAATGTGTTTCAGTTGTTTTTAAAGATTAAAAGTCTTCATTTCGTCAACAAGATTTAGACAAAAACGAGGCCAAAAAGAACTTCATTTGCCAACTCCAACACTAAAGTAAACCGATACCCTGTGAACCCAGACGCTTCATTTAACAATTAATATCATCGTAATTGAAAACATTTT